GGCATATTACTGGAGCAGTCCTTACATTTTGAATTTCGGGCGAGCAATAACCAAGAAGAATACGAGGCGCTATTGGCAGGAATGATTTTGGCAAAGGAGATGGGGGTGACGAATCTATCAATACGGAGCGATTCTCAGTTGATCACGGGGCAAGTAGCTGGAACTTTCCAGGCAAAGGACCCCCAATTGGCTAAGTACCTGGAAAAGGTTAAGACCTTATTGAAAAATTTCTGAGAGTTTACACTTAACCATGTGCCACGAGAACAAAATTCGCGAGCCGATCTCCTTTCTAAGTTAGCAAGCAGAATGAAGCCAGGGGCCACTCGGTCGGTCATCCAAGAAACCTTAGCTCAGCCGAGTATTAATGAGCCACATGGGAGTGTTCTTTTCATCCAAGAAGAGCTCGATTCGTGGATGAGACCATATATTGCATACCTGACACGGGGGGAGTTGCCAGAGGACAAAAAGGAGGCGTCATTGATACAGAGGGAGTCACCCAGGTTTGTAGTCATCAACGAAAGGTTGTATCGAAGGGGTTTTAGCTCTCCTCTTTTGAGATGCTTGAACACATCGCAAGCGTAAAGAGTGATGGAGGAAGTGCATGGCAGCATGTGTGGAAGTCATATCAGAGGGCGAGCTTTAGTATACAAAGTCGCACGGGCAGGGTATTTTTGGCCGACCTTGAGAAACGACTGCGTCAATTGGGTTCAAAAGTGTGGTGGATGTCAAAGACACGCAACCTTGCACCACTCCCCAGACGAACGACTCCATTCAATCTTGTCCCCTTGGCCATTCAACAAGTGGGGTATTGATATTCTCGGTCCATTTCTTATCGAAGTAAGACAATTGAAATTCTTGATAGTGGTTGTAGACTACTTCAGCAAGTGGATCAAGGCAGAGCCAGTGGCAACCATTTCGGCAGAAAAGGTAAGGACATTTTTATGGAAGAATGTGATATGCAAATATGATGTTCCTCAAGTGCTCGTATCAGATAACGGGACAAAATTTGCGAGTGGAAAAGTCCGCGATTTCTGTCAGGAGATCGACATCCGAATGACATTCACTTCCGTCAAACACCCCCAGTCTAATGGCCAAGTGGAGTCGGCCAACAAGGTTATACTCTCAGGATTGAAAAAGCGCGTCCAGGACTCAAGCACTTCATGGGTGGAGGAGCTTCCATGAGTGTTATGGTCATACCACACGACCGTTCATTCGTCGACCCAGGATACCCCATTCAATCTAGTGTACGGGACAAATGCGATGATACCGATTGAAATCACCAAACCCTCGGTACGCACTACAGGCTTCTCTGAGGAGGAATCCGAGCAGGGAAGACGAGTTGATTTGGATTTGATCACAGAAATAAGAGAAAGAGCACAGATAAATCAAGTAGCAGCGTAGCGAAGGGCTGCTTTCAGATACAATACAAAGGTCGTCCCAAGAGATTTTATCGTAGGAGACCTCGTTTTGAAGCACGCTCAGCTAACTCAAATGAGGAATAAACTGTCACCCAAATGGGTCGGCCCCTATAAAATTGACAATGTGGTCGGCAAAGGAGCTTACCGATTGAAGACGCTTGATGGAGGGAAGATCCCAAGGACTTGGAACGCTGCAAACTTGCAATTTTATTATAGTTAATTTATTCATTTGTATCAGGTGCACTCTTTTCCTAACTCAGTATTTTTTCCCCATAAAAATAAGAGGGGTTTTTGGTTGAGAAGGTTTTTAATGAGGCACCGCAAACTAGTAATTTCTCAATTTTAATAAATATCATCCCCTACTGTTCTTCTATGATTTTTAACATGTGTTATTTCCAAAGGTACCAAAACTCGTGATTGTTCGGTCAAATTTCGACTGGACGAGTATAAATAACTCGAAGACAAACTCGTGATTGTTCGGTCAAATTTTGACTAGGCGAGTATAAATAACTCGAAGACAAACTCGTGATTGTTCAGTCAAACTTTGACTGGGCGAGTATAAATAACTCGAAGACAAACTCGTGATTGTTCGGTCAAATTTCGACTAGGCGAGTATAAATAACTTGAAGACAAACTCGTGATTGATCGGTCAAATTCTGACTGGGCGAGTATAAATAACTCGAAGACAAACTCGTGATTGATCGATCAAATTCTGACTGGGCGAGTATAAATAACTCGAAGACAAACTTGTGATTGATCAGTCAAATTCTGACTGAGTGAGTATAAATAACTCGAAGACAAACTCGTGATTGTTCTGAAAAATTCTGATGCATATACTTTCCAACTATTTCAATTATTTAATTGAAATTTTGCTTCATTGGCTACGGAGTGCAATCGAAATTTTGGCGAGTACTTTCGGTGTAAAAGTACCAGTTTCAACTTAGAATATTTTTGGTTCTTTGGTGAGGGAGATCAGAATTTTGCCAATTCGTTTTAGTTCAAAAGATCTCATTTTTAACATTTGAGTCGGCATTTGGGCGATTACTTGGTCAAGTTTCATTCTTTAACTTAGAAAATTTTCCACTCAATGTTGGAGTCGTGATGTGAATCAAGAAGAAGCAATAATGGACTAGGAATTATCCTTCTAGTTGAGAGTGTATGGGTAGCTCCCTACATGTACTACTAGACTACCTTAAGTGTGTTATTTAGGCAGCACACCAGTGATATGTGATATGTGATTGGCACCACGTGCATGCATTTATGAGTTGAGTCCCTGACATCATTGCATGATAAATGAGTGTGCATGTGATACTAATTGTGTATGTGTATTGTTCATATGTGATTTGTGCTTATCACTTGTATTATGTTTGTTGTATGTGTTAGTTACCTAACCTTTATTACTACACCTGAACCTGAGTGAGATGTTTCTCACTTCCTTGTTTTTTTTGTGAAGTTAGCGGAAAAACACATAGATTGGGGGTTGAATATGTGTGTGTGTACGAAGGAATTTTGAAAACGTTTTCACAAGAGTAATGTTCTTCGTCCAATGCACTTTTAGACGTCAGACTGATATGCATAATTTGTTTAACATAAGGTCAATGCGTCTGAAGGGTTTATCGTCTGCTAAGGAAAATGTTTCATAATGATAAATATTAAAGTTCTTACATTTTCCTTTTCAAGATAGTTTCGTTTTAGAGGCAAGTAGTAGATAAAGCTTTTCAGTGTAATATATCTATTGAGCGTAATTGCATCTTCATCTGAATAATGGTTTTAACAATATGTAAATATTGGACGAAGTATTTCACAAAGATTTACTTAGTAAAAATGATTTGTTTCTAGTTAAACAAGAAAAGTAATGCAATCATTTTATACTGGTTTGCTCAACTGAGCTACGTCCAGTCTCCTTCAACTGAAGGGTTCCACTAGATATCAAATTGAAGAGCATTAAGTATTATCGTCCACTCCTGGACCTGAGTATTCTTGACCACTCCTGGGCCTGAGTATTCTCGACCACTCTAGGGCCTCAGTATTCTCGACCACTCCTGGCCCGCCAGC